GCACGACAACTCCATCTTCATCAGTTCGCCCGCTCCTCGACCTCCGTCCACCTCCTTACACCCCGCCGGCTGGCTGGTACGCCTGCCAAACATGCTATACTCCAGCCTGTGATCGTGCTCAGCCGCTGCAACCTTCCCCGCGAGCTGGACGTACCTTTCACCTCCTCGTCCGCGCTTGTCGACCACCTCGCCCTCCGCCTCGCAGCGCGAGGCTGAGAAGACGGCTGCAAAGGGGCTGACGCTGCTTCTCCGGTGCCATACGGTCCGTCGGCGCTAATCAGAGACCTTCCGAGCAGGGTGCCGCTGCCTCCAACGTGCTTTCACGCCTCCGCCTTGCACGTTCTACGCTTCTTCGAGCGGACAACTTCCGTTCTCCCTTCTTTCCCTTTGTTCTCCCGCCATTCTCCATCGTCGACAAGATGCTTACTAGCGTCGTACTCGCCGCGCTTGCTGCGGGCGCCGCCCAGGCGCTTCCCTCCCCTCCCGCTCCGACTCCGCTCACGAAGCTCGAGCTGCACAAGCGCTTTGTCGATGAGCGTTTCCCGTACAAGGGTCCTGCCGTTCCCGTTGGTGACTGGGTGCGTACTAGGTCTCGCTATAAAGCCGAAACGGACGCTGACATCGTTCTCTGCTCGTCCAGCTCGACCAGACTCCCCAGGGCAACGGGAAGGGCTATCAGCGCCTGTACAAGGACCCGGCCGTCCTCCCTGCGCCCAACGTCTCGGTCCTCTCGATCAAGAACAACATCAACGTCATCTCGACGTCTCTCCTCCCGGGGGGAATCAACGTCCACTTCCAGACGCCGTTCGGTATCGGCGCCAGTCCCGTCGTTCGCTGGGGCTACGACCAGAACTCGCTCTCGAACAACGCGACGGGCAACACGACGACCTACGACCGCACGCCGCCTTGCTCGATGATGCTTGCGACGCAGTGCAGCCAGTTCTTCCACAACGTCGCCATCCCTAAGTGAGCCCCGCTTCCTCCGCTCATCATGCTCGATGCTTATACCTTCCTGCGCAGCATCAAGCCCGGCTCGACGGTCTACTACCAGATTCCCGGCGGAAACGGCACTCGCCCATCCGACGTCCTCACCGTCAAGACCGCGCCCGCCCCCGGACAGGACGGGGAGTTCGAAACCTTGATCGTGAACGACTTCGGATACACGAATGCGCACGGGACGCACCAGTACATGCTCGAGCACGCCCAGAACGGTGCGGCCTTTGCCTGGCACGGCGGCGACATTAGTTGTGCGTTCCCTGGCCCTCACTCAATGTCCCCGCTCTCCTCGTTCTTTCTGCCGTTCGTCTTAACCTATGTTGACGCTTCCATCGCGATGCAGACGCTGACAACTGGTGCGTTTCGCGGGAACCCCTGACCTTCTCAGCCTCCGTTCCCCTTCGCTAACGCTCTTCGCTGACAGGTACGAGGGCATCCTGGCTGTGAGTCGCTCTCACTCTCTGTATCGCATTTGCACTGACGCAGAATTCGCTTTCCTCTGCGTAGTGCGAGCCCAGCTGGGACGTCTGCGTCGACGGCGTCAACACGACGCTTCCCGGCACGGCGCCCGTCCCTGAAGAGTACCTCTCGCCCCTCCCCGCTGGCGAGCCCGCGAACCAGGGCGGTCCTCTCGGCGGCGACATCTCGCAGGTCTACGAGAGCAACTGGGATCTCTGGCAACAATGGGTGTCGCAGATCACGAAGCTCATCCCCTACCAGTGCGTCAACGAGATCCTCCCTCTGACAACGAGATCCTCCTCCCGACGAGTCGCTGACGATTGTTTGTGCAGGACGACCCCGGGCAACCACGAAGCCGCTTGCGCCGAGTTCGACGGCTCGAACCACGAGCTTACCGCCATGCTCGTTCACAATGACACGTCCTTCAACGCTACCTCGCCGACCGCCAACCTCACCTACTACGCCTGCCCGCCGTCACAGCGCAACTTCACCGCGTACAACCACCGCTTCTTCATGAACGGTGAGGCGACTGGTGGACGAGGCAACCACTGGGGATCGTTCAAGTGGGGACTCGCGACCTTCATCTCTTTCAGCGGCGAGACCGACTTCTACCAGTCAGTTCACTATTCCTTCGACCATGTGCGTCAACAGCTCAGGGCTGACGACTCCGCTTCGCAGGTCCCCGGAGGACTCCTTCCTCGACGTTACGAAGGGCAACGCCTCGATCCTCCCGAACGAGACTGCGACCTTTGCGACCAACAGCGGTCCCTTCGGCGAGCTCTACGGCAACTACACCGACAACATGAACTACGAGCAAGTACGCTGGATCAAGAACGAGCTCAGCAAGGTGAACCGCACGGAGACCCCCTGGGTCTTTGCGATGAGCCACCGTCCGATGTGTGAGTTCCTTCCCAGATTGCGCGCTCTTCCTTTGCGCTAATGACGGTCCTTCACGCGCAGACTCGTCCGAGGTCTCGTCGTACCAGGCGCACATGCGTAAAGCCTTCCAGCAGATCCTGATTGACGGGGGCGTCGACGCGTACTTCTCGGGGTGCGTTGCGTGCTCGGTTTCGGCCTGATCGATCGTGGCTGACTTGTTGACCTGCAGACACATCCACTGGTACGAGCGCATGTGGCCTCTCACCGTTAACGGCACGGTCGACTCGGCTGCGATTAAGTCCAACCACACCTACGTTGCCTCGAAGAACTCTCTCATTCATTTGATCGAGGGCAACGCCGGCAATGTCGAGAGCCACTCGACGCTTGGAAAGGCGCCCCTCCTCAACACGACCGCCGTCCTTGACCAAGACAACTACGGTTTCGGCTCGCTGCGCGTCCACAACCGCACGACCGCCACCTACACGTTCATCAAGGGCTCGGACGGTTCGGCGGGCGACTACGTGACTATCGTCAAGCCGTCGCAGGATTCGCAGGGCTCGCAAGGCTCGCAGAACTCGCAGGGCTAGAACGGCAAGGGCTCGCAGAAGTCGCAAAACTAGGGGAGCGATCTTCCCTTGCTGCTCGCGCATCCCTAAAACGCCGCCAACTTGGGCCTTACTCTCTTTCGGGATCCGTTGTTCATATTCCATTTCCCCTACAATCCACTGCGTTGTAGATTTGCCAGATACGCTGAAACATCGCAGAAGATGCAGCCTGTTCGAGGATTGCGAGGTCAAGAAGAGGCGAACTGGCGGCGAGTGTACTTCACGAAAGCAGAGAGAATTCAGATGCAGGATTGAGCTCTCCCGTGAGCGCGGATGCGCGAGCATAGGAAGCAAAATGAGGAGACAAATCTACGAGCAGGAGCAAGAAGGAGCCCAGGAGAACCAGAGCGGCGAGAGGGTCTGGTCCACGAGCTCCGGTCAGCGTTTACAGGGAGCGCAGGCCGTCGAGTGACGCAGCGTCGTATGATGCTGCGTTTTATGAGTGCTTGTCGAAGGATCAGCAAGTTGCCAGTAAGGGAAGAACGAGACGAGAGTACGAGGAAGCAGCGGAGGTCAACCCAGTTCGCCACTCGCTTCTCCTGGGCTAGCTGCCCGCCAGAGAGTGCTCGTATGCTGCGCGAATCGAGCTCGGAACAGGCTTCGTTCCACTGCACGCGCGTGACAGTCCTCGGAATGAAGGCGAGTGAGCGAAGTCGGCGTTAGCGGTGCGAGATGGCGTCGGGCGAA